CTTTTAAGGTGCTCAAAGCAATTTCTGAAATGGCCGCTACTAAACCATCAGAGGCTGAGCAGAGTATAGCTTTTCTCTGCTGTGGGGAGGATTGAAGAAGCAGTTTTAAGAGAGGCAAATTTCTTTTTACACGGCTAGACATATTCCCCTTCCACCTTTTCGAGAGCTAAGAGGAGGCCACCACTACATCATCTCTTTTTATTCCCACCCGCTGTTTTTTTAAAAGTGTAAGCAGCCGGTTAGTCAGGAGGAAAAAGCCCTGTTCTTAATCTAAAAGCATCCAGGGCAGAAGCATTTAAATCAACCACCAGATACCCATAAGGTGTTTTAGTGGCATCCTCAAAAGCTTCTAGAAAGAACTGGGCCTTACCTGGGTACATCTGCCGCGCCAGGGACACTATCTGTAGCTTATCACTGGGGTTTTTAAACAAAACCATGCATTTTGTGTTAAAGGCAATGGTGCAGCTCCTTTTCCCTTGACATTTGGAACTATATACATAATGCTAAGATTCTGATGGTGCACGTACTTGGTAAAGGCTTTCTCAATTTTGCCACTGTCACAGGCAGAGTCCATCAAATCATCTACTACAACCAGATTTATTTTATTAGGAGGAAACAGTTATCATTGAGACTGTCTGGTAGACCCTCCACAAACTTGATAAAAGGATATTTACAAAGTAGTTCTTTATACAAAGGCTGCCAACAGCTATAGCACCACATGATATTCTCAGGCATAACAGACAACATTTTATCAGCATGATCCAAAAAGTTTTTTATAAAGTAACTTTTACCACAGTTGCTAGGGCCTGCCAAAATCACAGAAAAGGGGTGTTTCCAATGTATATCCATCTTCAAAAACCATAGGGGAGGCTGTTAAAGTTTTCTGTGAAGACCCTTTTGTCATAAACAACTTTCTGAGTTTTTCTCAAGGTTTTGGTTTCTGTTGTCCACTCGTTTTTGTTCCTGACGATAGAACGCTGTTGTATCACACTTGTTTTAGGGGTGTCCACAGCAGGGTTTGCCCCATAATCTAGAACAGCATCTCTCAAGGTTTCAAAGTTGACTTTTTCACTGTTGGCCACATTCAGGGTAATCCCTTTTATCTTCAAGCACATCTTTCCCCCGGACAACTTGTATCCGTAGGTTTTCGGACTGGCCAACACACACTCTGTGATGTGTTCATCTGGTGGGATTTTGCTGGTGAGCTCGCCTAAATAATCGCCTAGCGGGGGGTTCCAATCTCCTTCGCAGCTCACAAATATCACAGAATCCGTGTCGTAGTACAGACACTGGTCTTGCAAGCTAACAGCTCATACAACTCTAAGCATGCATAAGCGGTGGTGAAACAGGCTATAAAGATGTTTGTGTTACCAGAGACAGTGTAATGCTCTTTGGCATGTTTCCAAGACATGCAGGCTGTCTCATCATCAATAAGGTTGCAAGATGAAATTTCAAAGTTGGGAGAAAAGAGGTAGCCAAAGAGTTCTTCGAGGTCTCTAACGATGCTGGTGTTGGGCAAGTTGGTTCTCTGACTGAATTTACCCCACAAAGAATTTAGAAACAATTTTGCTATTTGGTGCTTTGCAGGGTTGGGTTTGATAAGCTCTGGGTGTAAGGTTACGTCTTCTTTTTGCAAGAAATTGACCATGTATCTCTCTCATTTTTCTTGGTCAGTACACCAGGCAGGGTAGCCCGAGGCTTCCTGCTTCTGTCGGAGGTGCATTTTTATGTACTGTGAAAAAAGGGTGGTAGACGTCTCAGTAAAATGCCAGACTTCATAGAATTGAGCTACTCTGCACCCCTTGGAGATAGCTTTATTCAATTCTGGTGTGCACAACGTACCCAGGAGAGCCCTCTCTTCATCACTGTGGTCGCACTTTTGCTGTCTTGTTTCCGCGCAGAGGCGGCACAGTGTGAACATAAGTTTCCAGTTCACCCTGGTGGGTAGCACAGGAAAAAAAAGGTTTCATGGTGGATACAGTTTCACCCTGGCTATTCCAAAATAGCTTGACAAGTGTTGGAAATTGTCATGAATGATTTCAGGGTGTCCAGCTGGGTATTCCTTCATTTTGTTTATAAAGGGGTAAAGACTGGTAAAATCATAATAGTGTATTTGTTCGCTGGGTTTAATATGTTAATATAGACAGATGGCATTAGTTCTCCCCCACAAAAAGAGCATCCCTAGGCACCAGTAGAGAAGGCAGCGGGGTTCTGTTTAAAGAATCTGACAGCTCCCCATCCGTTTCAAACAGAGCCCTCCACTTGTGCTCCCAAATGGTCCTAACGGTAAATGCCTCTCTCTTGAGATAATCGGTCTTGTGCAATGCCTGATAATTCAGAAATCCAAAGGTGGTCCCCATCAATGGGTTCTGGTCTTTCTCATTGTAGCAAGTGACACAACGGTGGAAAAAACATCCGTTAAATTCAAACACCGTAGGTTCCCCATCAATGTTGGCATAGCTGTCTAAAAAATAGGGGCCTACCTGAAATTCCCTACCCTGTAAAGCATGTCGAATTTAAATATTTTCCTTCTCCAAAATGTACATTAGACACTGAATAGATGGGGTTGAACACCTCTTTTTCTGTCTGTGATAGTTGTCTGGGGGGAGAAGCGCTATGGTCTGCGGTTCCAAAAACATTAACCTGTACACGGCCATGCAGATGGAGGCCAGCGTGATGTATTGGAAAGGATATATGCAGCGTACTACATTTTGGAGTTCACGATCTACTTTCACTCAGTCTACCCGCCATGTCATTTTCATAATCTCATCCCTGTAGAGGCAGCAGGCCTCTTTCAAAACGTTTTACGTCCTGCTGGCAATAATAAGCCAGCTCCTTTTGCATATCAAAAGTCTTATCGCGGTTATTCTGATACCATTCTAAAAACTGTCCTTTCTCACCGGCCATCATATTTTCAATGCCAAAATATTCCATCTTTGGGAGAGGCCCCATATAATTCTGGTTTTCTTCTATGTTAAAAAAATGTGGGAAATAACCTTTGCATCCTTCAAACTCCATCGCCTGTGGAAGTCTGCTAAGTTTCATTGGCAAAAAGTTTAAAGAATCTATGAAACGGATGCCTAGGCCGGTCACTTCAATACACATGAGTTTACCACCCTGAGTGATTAGTTTCATGCCCATTTTTTCTTTCAATAACTGGCTGACAACGAAGTAACCATCGTAGCCTTTGGCATTGTGAGCTATGAAGATGTAGTCCTTGAACTTTTTATCCAAAAAACCTTAATAAAATCAGACTGGCACTCTTCACCCTTGAATTTGCCCCACTACACACCACTTCTCCTCCCACAAGAAACACAAAGTTTCAGAAGCTGATTTCAGAAAAATTACCTTTTACTACTGGATAAAAGCATGACTGTATGTGCTTGTTCTGCTATTCTGTTTTAGAAGAAGAGGTTCTGTCTGAAAACAAACAGCTGTTATAACTTAGTAACACAGCCACAAATAACCTACCATTTTAAAATAATTTTTACCTTGCTGTGGTAAAATTGCATGGGGCTTCCCCACCTGATAAGCTCTCTGTAATATAAGTGAAATGATACAATAAGTAAGTCCTCTGTATTAAAAAAAAAAAAATAGATTAAGGAAAATAGTGTATGTATAAAGTAAAATATAACTGTATTAAAACAGTCACCACTAAAAGACAACTCAACCCATTTAGTCTTAAAGTATGTGGAGATCTCGACACACCAATCAGCTTTTATTTATTTATTTATTTTGATCTGGTTTATCTTTATGATACACACCCGCCACTCCATTTCATACACAATCTGTGAGAATATATATTATTAATTTCAGTCTTTATTTCCATCAAAAACTTTTATAATATTTAGTGATTTCTTTTGTTAAACCTTCTTCTAAGAAGTGTTTTTCATTTTCTGTGACCATTAAACCTTGTCGGCCTTATCTTTACAGCTGGCCTTTCGGTAAAGATAACTACTTTAGTCTTAAAACAAGAAGAGCTCTGAACACAATGGTCATTTTTTTTTTTTTTGTGGTCTGGTTTATCTTTATAACACACCCCCCCACCACACCCCTACTATACAAAAGCTGTGAAAATATATATTTTTAAATTCAGTCTTTATTTTCATCAAAACTTTTACAATTTTTACCAGTTTATTTTGTTACCCCTCCTCCTAAGAAGGTTTTTTTACATCAGCTGTAGAAAACTGTTGGTGTGCTTTACAACCTCACATCCCCCACCCTCCCACCAAGATCAGAAAAAGCTATAACCCCAACAACCCCCATTTTAAACAGTTTTTGCTAAGCCCTTCTCTTAAGCAGGGTTTTATAATCTCTAGTACCAATTAAGCATTCAATATGGGGTATGAGTGTTTTATCTTCCTCAGTGATCAAATCATGAAGGGCAGCATTTGGATCTTCTGCAGAATACACGGTGTTTAGAAGCTCTCTAACCTGAATTAAATGTTTCACAGTAATTCTGAGAATGTTCCTGGGAAACCCAATGGTTATAACAGCATTGAAAATGCTATCAAGACATATTTCCCTGCAAAGTTCCTGAATTCTTTGGTTTATGTCTTCATCTAACCAAGCAAGACATTCGTGGGCTTCTTGACCCCCTAGGTCAAATGTGCATCCCCAGCATAGGTCAAAAAGTCTCTTCCTCAAGCAGTATTTCATTATGTCATAAAATGAAATGCGAACAAGAGACTTCATAAAGACTTTACATTTGCGTGATATAATAGCTTGTGTTGATTGAATGGCTAGATGTCTTCTGAACTCTTTAGGCTCATCTGGTCTTTGTTCTCTGCAAAAGCATACACCTCTTTCTTGTGTACTGGTGAGTAGGTTTTCTGGAGTCATTCAAAAGCCTTCATCTAACTGCAAAGGAGTTCAAATAAAGGATTTGGTTAGTTAGCTGCTGTTTAATCAGTCCTTGGCTACTTCTAAACACACACGTGCCATGGAGTGAACCCACATTGAAAACCCAATTGCCCCCACAAACATGCTCCAAGTCACTTACCAGTCTCTCCTCTGCGATGACCTCTACTTCTCATGCAGGTTCTGGCACAAAGATTCCCTCTTCCAAATTCTCAACGTCTGCTTCGAGGGTCTGGGCCTCCTCCATTTGCCTGTTCATTGGATCTTCCCGAACAGGGTCAAGCGTCTCAAAGAGTCTTTGGGCTAGGGGGCTGTGTCTCCTCCTCAAAACTATTTCTACGGTAACCCTTTCTATAAAGCCGTCTGGGGGTTGTAGTGAGTGGGCCTACAGGCGTTGTGAAAGAATCCATATCCGCCCCTGCTTGCCTTAGCACAGTCTCAGATAAACAGAGTGGTCGTTTAGGAAAGCAGATAGACCTGGTGGGGCTGCCACCCAAATCCCACCCCCTCTACTCATTCCAATTGGTTCAGCATTGTTCTTGGGAGGTCTGAGGTCTCTGAAACCTCTGCCAATTGGTTGGTGGTGGTAGGACAGGTTGTTAGAGGGGTCACACCACCACCCTACCACCCCATAGACCATGCCTGTGGTCTATGGGACTTCCGGTCCTGCCCACCTGTCACATTTGCATTGAAGGGCAGGGAGCCTATATACTATTTTCTTCCTCTCTGGAGTGTAGGTGTCACTAACCATTTCATAGTTTCATAGTTTTATAGATTTTAGGGTCAGAAGGGAGCTATTAGATCATTGAGTCTGACCCCCTGCCCTGGGCAGGAATGAATGCTGGGGTTGATGACCCCAGCCAGGTGTCTGTCCAATATCCTTTTATGCACCTCCAAGGAAGGGGACAGAACCGCCTCCCTTAGGAGCTTATTCCACATTTTGACAACTCTCACTATAAAGATTTTTTTCCTGATGTCCAATCTGAATTTGCTCTCTTCCTGTTTGTGGCCATTATTTCTAGTTACCCCAACAGGAGCCCTGGTAAACATTGTATCCCCTATTTCTTGCTGCTCTTCTCTCCACCCCCCGCCCCCATGTGTTTGTAGACGGCCATGAGATCACCTCTCAGCCCAGAGGTTCAGGTTTCCCAATCAGTCCATATAGGGTTTTTTTCTCTATGCTTTTAACCAGCTGAGTGGCCCTTCTTTGTAATCTAAAGCTTAGAAACCACTTCCAAGAGTAAACTTAACTGCTCACCATGACTCTGTCTTCTCACATACCCTTCATGCAATCACTTTAGTGGTCAGAGTTTTCACCCAGGAAGTGGGAGATCTGCTCTCCAGTACATATCTGTTTTTATATCATGTAAAATGCATAGATAGTACCCATCTCCTTGATGAATTCCTTTACCATGTGTATAAATAGGAAGGCTCCATTTTGCTTGATATTCTCCTGGTCCCATAGCTTTAGTCTTCTTGGCTGCACAATGGATCTCAAGCCATTTTCATTAAGCACCATGGAAACAGCAAGCAATTATTTTGCTTGGTAATTAGGCACTTTTCCAGATGATGTTTCCCATTAGTATTCCAAAAGGTGGTGATGGGGAGGAGCAGAGAGATATGGGCTCCAGGGTTTGGGAGCAAGGGATTCTCTCTCTGTCTTGGATAAAAACCCACCCGAGGTTCCCAGCATGAAGCAGGGGTGACATCTACTGGTTGTATGGCCCAGTAAATACACTTGTGGCTTTTTTGTCTTCCACCTGCTCCAGCTGTAAATGGGCATCCAAGAGATCACCTAAATGCTTGGCTATGCCATAGGAGCTGGCACAGCCCCTCCAGGTCTCAGGGTTGAAGCTGGTGCTATAGCAGTGGGGTTCCCCAGGGCTCAGTCCTCGGGCCTGTACTGTTCAACATCTTTATCAATGACTGCGATGAGGGGATGGAAAGCACACTGTCCAAGTTCGCTGAGGACACCACAATGTGGGGTGAGGTGGGCATGCCAGAAGGGAAGGATAGAATCCAGCTAGATCTGGACAGGTTACAGAGGTGGGCAGATAAGAATAGGATGGAATTCAGTGCAGACAAGTGCAGGTTACTGTATCTAAGGAGAAGGAACCAGCAGCATACCTACAGGCTAGGGAACACCCTTCTCATCAGCACAGAGGCAGAAAGGGATTTTGGAGTCATTGTTGACTCCAAGTTGAACATGAACCACCAATGTGAGGAAGCTGTCAGTAAGGCTAACCGTACCTTGTCATACATACACAGATGCATCATAAGCAGGTCCAGGGAGTTTATCCTCCCCCTATATGTAGCATTGGTCAGGCTGCTGTTGGAGTACTGCATCCAGTTTGGGCACTGCACTTCAGGAGGGATACGGCCAGCATCAAGAGGGTCCAGAGGAGGGCCACTCTCATGATCAGGGGCAGAAGGGCAAGCCATACAAGGAGAGACTAGAGGGCCTGAACCTATTCAGCCTCCACAAAAGAAGGCTGAGGGGGCATCTGGTGGCTGTCTACAAATTCACCAGGGGGATCAGCAGAGAATAGGAGATGGCCTGTTCC